TGTTTTGTTCAAAGTCCTATGAGAAATTTTGGCAAAAATTCTGTACTCTCAGGTGTTTCACTCGTCGCGCCAGTATATGTCTTCGCTAAAAAGACGAAAAACGAGAGAGAGAGAGAGAGAGAGAGTAGTAGTAGTAGTAGTAGTAATAGTAGTAGTTCTTGTATTTAGCTGTATATAATATATTCAGTAGTCGCACATACATTTTTTTTTAAATATAGGTATGTAAAGAATAGTTTGTATATAGGCCATAGCAAATAGTTATCATCCACATAAAACTTTAAAACTTTGTTTGGTGTTCCATGCTAGAATAAAAATCAGCATTCTTTAAAAAAATCAGTTCGATAAAAATGTAGATTATCGTTGCTACTCACGTTTCAGTGGTAAGAGACTTTTTAAGAGTACCATTTGGATAGTCGCAGTAGTGGAGAACACAAGGTACAGCCAGCAACAAAAGTGGTGACGCCTCGCCAGCCCTGGCTCGGAGAGATCATGCCCTTCTTGCCCTGAAAGGAGGCCCACCTTCAAACAACCAGGGCATAGTTGGGATGGTTCGAATGTGAGGAGGAGGAAAAGTAAATTTATTAATTTGATGTATATATTGGAAACCTGCCTTAAGAAATAAGTTATCGTATATTATTTCGAAAATAATTATCAAGAAACCTTATCGCAGCGTTCTATTTCAATTCCTTGTCATATATTCTATATAAACTTAAACATTGTTGGAACTGACTATTCGTCAGATGGAAACATCCTTCATACATATATGAAGGATGTATATTATATGGCTCTGCATTATCCTAAGCAGCTACTCTCTCTCACTCTCCTCCGTCTTATATCACCTGGATCCGCTGTTTGGATAATATGTTATAATGTCATATGTTATTTGGAAAATAACGTATATTATTTCATACGCCATTATATGTCGAAATGTTTACAATTATTTCATTACCAAAAATAACGAAATGAATATATAAAAGACGGACATAAAAAGCAATGGGTTTCTTGAATAGTTTGGGGGGGAACATCGACAAGGTATTGGACACCAACTGCTGAAACGGCAAATTAAGATGTAAGAATTGAAAGAGGCAAGGCTAAGGGAATATCCCCTTAGCCTTGGATAGAGTGAAGCTAGACTCGGCCCTTCGCGAAGTGAGTGAGCAAGCGTGAGCCGGGAAGGGGGTTCGCAGGGAAGTGCCCAATCTGCCCAAGTGTAAAGACTGTTGCCTAATAATTTAACACTAAAAATATGTTAATAGTATAAGTTTCGCAACATCTGCATCATATATACCCTACCATAATTATATAAATGTACCGTTGCACACATTCACTGCATTTCATTTTACATCATTCATTTTTCACTAAGTTTCGGAAACAATATAATAAATTAGGTTGACTGACGATGCACTTTAAATCAATTTATATCTCAAACTTTATGGTAATATAATAGACATAAATGCTTCCTATAAATATATGATTGTGTGTGGCGGAGACATGTGGCCCATCACACTCAAGTTGACCCCAACCTAACCTGAACGCGACTGGAGGACGTGATTCGTAGGAGGCACCCGAACGAAATAAAAGGAAAACAAGGGAATCGATACCTAAACCATCACACCCCATTACCCTCGAAGTTTTGTGGCCAAACCCATTTATTAATGTTTGGTAGTTCAAGAGGCGCTATTTGAAACGATACATTATTCACACCCACAAATATTACACACACTGTGTGTGTATGAGAGAGAGGGGGGTGGGCTGCGGACGGTAGCCTCGATAAGATGGGACTGAAACAGCCGAACACTCACTCCATGCTTTGCCAAGCGAATCCAGATCACCCCCTTCCTCCCCCCCCCCTTTTCTAACTATATCCAGGTTGTTTGAACGTGGACCACCTTTCAAGGCAAGAAGGGCAAGATCTCTTCAAGCTAGGTTTGGCGAGACGACATCGCTTTTGTTGTTTGGTAATTAGTGAGCTAAACTCTATATCATTAGCTTTTCCTTTTGTTGCAAATATTGATAGGGAACTATCTGTTTTTTGTTTTTTGTTTAAAATTTTCTTGACGATTTTGATGAAACTCACACCCTGTTATTTTGACCCTAGCTTGATATCTGTGGTCATTTTTTTTTTTCAAAATCGCCTGGACAGTTTTTGAATTGTAAAAAAAAAAAAAAAAAAAAATGCTGGAGGGGGGGGGGCAAACACTTCTTCAAAATTGATAAAACATTCAATTTGATTCGATTTTTGGACAGGACTACAACTGGTTTGAAATACTTTTTTTTTTTATCTCGCCTTACTTTTATGTGAATTTTTGAAGTAGGCAACTTCACAAAAATAGCAAAAAGTGAAGCACAGGCAAAAATTGCAAAAAGCGTATGTAACAAGTTGTAGATATTTTTTCTACATAATGAGCCCATATGTTAACTTTGGATTAAATTTGTGCCTGTGAGTTTGCCCCACACCAAAGTGGTGTTTCCAGATATAAGGCTTTTTCGTTTTACATCTTTTCATGATTATGTTGGTATCAACAAAATAAGGTATAAGAATAGTTTTCTTATATCATAGTCCCCTATCATCTCTGCTTTCCGAAGTATTGCGGACATTGGCAGTAGGTAACAATTGCTCAAAATGTTATGAATATTGTGGTAGGGTCGTGTGTATGGGCCTAAATTGACCATTAAAAAAAATCATACCGCCATTCTGATTTCATATCTATATAGAACAATCTTTTAACTATGTGACCATTTTACATAGGCTACTTTTTCAACACCCAAAAAGGGTCTCTTTTATATATATATATATATATATATATATATATATATATATATATATATATATATATATATATATCAATAGTATAAGAAGCACAGGAAAATATTGCAAATCCTTATTGCAGCATATAAAAGATCAACTATTCAGCTACAAAATGAGCCATAATACGTTAAAATCGGACTGAAAATTTGTGCTACGCGTAAGTGTAAAATATCGAAATATCGCGATTTTTTTCTTACATTATGGATAACAAATCATGTATGAAATATTTGTATATGATATAATTATCTTTTATTTACCTTTATTATTGCTCTATTGGGGTCTTACAACTTTAAACTGCTGGTCGAAAAAATGATTGTTCTCAAGGCCAACGAATATCTCAACGGCCCAGAGGCAGTCAGAAGGGGCAGTGTGCATGTGTTTTTGAGGTAATGGTCCCAGCAGGGCCGGTCCAGAAAATTTTCTGGTGGGGGGCAAGTGGGGGTAACAGTAAATCTGGGGGGGGGACCAGATTATATATACAGGGGGCCATTACGTCGTCATTGGGGGGGGGGGGCACATGGAGTGGCCAATCAGATTGCAGTGGGGACGGGTGCCCCCCCCCCCCCCCGTGCCATGTTGTAACTCTATGGAGTGAAACACATACCAACACTTCATGAAATAAAGATACACAAGTAAAAGGTGGTGTAATATATACATATATATATATATATATATATATATATATATATATATATATATAAGTATATAAGGATATACAGATAATTTCTGTGTATTCCATGACCTTATGCTAAAACGACAAGCAAGAAAACAGTTCCCCCTCCACCAACCGCACCGAACCGCGAGTGGAGTGATGCACAGTACCACCACGTGCCCGGGGTTCCCCAGCCCGACAGTAAAAACACGGCTCCTGTTGTGATAAATAATAACTACAGTCACAACCATGTAAGACACGAAACGTCTAATCCAAGCAATGTGGATGCGGATGGGTTTACTCTCGTGGAAAAAAGGAAAAAGAAGACAAAATAGAACAAAGATCTACCGCTAAACCTTTACAGGGGGCAGCTAAACCAGAGGTGTTGTACCTTTACATAACAAACTGCCACACAGACACTGAGGAAGCAGATATCGAGAATCACCTACTCGTTAACTTCCCTGAGGTGGACGATGCAAATGCATTCAAAACAAAAATGAGTCATTCATATTATGCCAGCTTCACTGTTTCTCTAAAGGCAAAGCACTTGTAGCTGATGAATTTCTGAAGTCAGATTCCTTCCCCAGCCCCGTGAGTCTTTTTAAATAGAAACAAGTACAAAACCTCACAACCTGAGCGGGATGTTTGACCAAAATGACTCGTCAACAATTGCGCCAGCTAACGCAAGACCCCGCAGAACACTTCCCAGCATTTACCTTGCAAATGCATGCTGCCTTACAAACAAAGTGGACGAACTTGACGTCATAATGAAACAAAATACTATTGATATTGCAGTAATCACAGAAACTTGGTTCAAAGGCGATACATTAAAACATCGGAACCATACAGGGGTACCACTTATTTAACAAAATTCGTCAGGGCAGAAAAGGTGGTGGCGTTGGTATCTACTTTAAAGATACTATCCCCTGCAACACCATAAAATCCATCTGTCCACCAAGTGACGACCTTGAAACATTATGGCTCGCTGTTAGACCTACATGGCTGCCTCGCGAAATCAGTGTGCTCGTAATCTGCGGGATGTATTTCCCCCCAAGGGCACCTACCGAAGAAAGCCTCAGAGAACACATAATAGAAAATGTGTTCATCCTCCAAGTAAAGTATGGAAATCCCTTTTTTGTAATTCTTGGCGACCTGAACACTTTTTCTGATTATGAAATCACCTCTGTACTGAATTTTAAGCAGGTTGTGTCATTCGCCACGCGTGGGAAAAATACCCTGGACAAAATCATAACAAATAAAGAGCATTTTTATGAAAGTCCAACTTCCCTGCCCCCTTTAGGCAATAGTGATCACTTGTCGCTGCTCTGGGTACCTAAGAAATACCAGGCACCCACGCAATTAAAGGGAACAAAACTTATTCGTAGATTCCCTGATTCTAAAATCCGCGAGTTCGGATCATGGATTGCTCATCATGACTGGACCGACGTTCTCAACGCCCCCGACCCGAACACTAAATGCAAACTTTTTTATAAATTAATCTGGAACCAAGTTGACAACTGCTTCCCCTTAAGAACTTCC